TATACCGTAACTCCGAGAAGTACGACACCGTAGTCTAGAAAATTTATTCAGAAACCACTACCTGGAAAATTCCCTACTATTGACCCACCTTTTTACTATTCCACAAGATACTTGAACACAGGATCATTTCTTGTAAGTAAAGGCGTTTTCCGAAATTAGTTCAATAGAACAAACCCTCTCGTGGATGAGGTAAATATGAACGCAATGCCACTTTTACGGCTCATGAAGCAAGCAATGGCGCTAAGAGTTTATGACTTCTATCTATGCACAGCCCATTGCATGAATGCCCGTTCAGCCATGCTGTGTCTGCGTCTCACTCGCTTCCTACGCTCTCTTCACTCGGCTTCTATACGTTCTTTTGCTTCGGTGCTCTGTGTCCCCTAAACTCGTTCATCGTCCCTAGAGGAGGCCTTTCCGTTTGATGTTTTTCCTTTCCGTTATTCTCCCCTGACTGCCTATCTATAATACTTTCATCATCAAGTGCAAGACCACACGTAGGTGAATGCAGAATATGCATTTGACTATGTTCACTTTTCGCACTTTAAAAGCTAATAGCCAATGTGAGAAAAAATGGCTCGAATACTCCAACCAATCTTCTCATCAAAATAGAAAACAAACCTCCAAGAATATTTTCCATTGCTGCCATACGTTGGTGTGTGGCTTCCTCAAGCAGTCCACCAAATGTGACGATTGGCGCCAAAAGGGCGAAATACATGAAGCATGCTGTGGCCAAGCATTGCAGGTTCAGTGCGTCGGTAAAGTCACTGAGGAAATGAGGCGCCTGAAAATGAGGTTCTGAAGATTTTCTTAGGAATCAATGTTTCACATCATTTTTTGAGAACCTTTAAATGTGAGCCACGGAGCTCAGAGTTTCACTACTTACTAACCTTCCGCTTGATGTCCAGAATTAAACCACCGAATAAGCGACCAGTACGCTTCAATGCTGGGTCGCTACCATGGCCTGGAAATGGATTGTCAGAACGGTAGTGAATCACGCAGAGTGCCTTGTATCGCAATACTTGAAGGCAGAAGTCGCGTTGATTGCTTCGACGAGAGTGCCCAACTTAAGGGAATCCTTCCCGAAAAATGCTTGCATTCGTTCCCAATATGGATATGTCAGTTGTAATCACTTGAGACAACATACAAAGTTTCACGCATGAAGATTCAGGCGGCGCCAAAGGCGGGGCATGGGAAAAAAATTGGCCTTGGGGGAACCACGTATTAGGCAGACGAAAACAATAAAGGAGCATTTCATCTGGTTAAGGACATTTCGAATTTTGAGATAGAGGCAAAACGATCGAATAGCAATAAGGAGCACTAGTAGAAAAGCGGAAGAAGTTGGAGTGGCAGTAAGAAAAAGGTAAAGAAGAAGTTGACGACGACATTCCGAGAAAGCAAGTGGAGCGTTCCCGCCATCCAGTTGGACATACGATGTCTGCAGTGACATATGAACGCGTAGCAGTCTTGCCTTGTTCGAATTGGCTTTAATCAAAAAATATACCTTTTTGTTATCTATTCCTTATTTTTACCATGAAAGAAATGAGTCCACCGCAGGCAAGCGATTAATACTTGAGACGGAACTTGATTTTTCCTAGGAGGAACTCCAACCACAACCTCAATGGTGCCAGCCTCAGCAACGTCTGCCGAAAGGCAAAATGCCACAACATCGCAAAGATTCCCCACTCTGGTCTGATTTAAAGCGAGGGATTACGATAAGTTTGGACTGGGTTCATAGTGGAAGTGGAGATGCTGAATAATGCCCCAGTGGCGAAAAAAGCAAAGAAATCCGTCAAGAAGGCGCAAAATGGGACCCCTTTCTTTGCCCGTTGACCTCCGATAATGGACGAGCTAGCAACCAATTAGGAGGTCGTTTGCACATGTTATGCTGATAGCCTCTATCATTTCAGCAAGCATCATGCTTTGATTGATCACGCATCCCATGAAAAGTTATAGGATACACTCTGGAAGTGGAATATCTCGTCACATTGGCAATCGAAGGGCGCTGCTGCTGGGGGCGGAGCACAGACCGTGGCGGGGCTCAGAAAGGAATGGCAAGCCTTGTACGCTGCAACTAGCGCACCTTTGACCACAAAAACGCAACATTTCGTTTCCTTGGGCCCCTGACTACTGCTTCCAATGGTGCATGTACTTCCACGCTGCATACGCACTTTATCGTAATCTCTCGCTTTAAGGCGAATAAGCGTTTGCTTGATCAAAGAATTTTTGGTCAGCATGCGTATCGGCAAGTAATGTACGTTAAATAAGGGGCGTTTGGATACACATCCATGGATTGTATAAAGCCATCAAATCTGAAAACTCAAAGTTTTTTTATCCAACTTTCACCAAACAATCGAGAAGAAGCATTAGGAATTGTGGCCATGAACCACTACAAATTTAGAAATAATCACAACTCTCCATTTGGTCAATTGGAGACAAACGCAACATATAAAAGGGGAGAGGGGGTACAAGAAAAAAAGAATCGATGGAATACAAGCATCCTTTGAGGGGAATAGAATGCAAAAACAAATAGAAATTGCCAAGGCGATAGTAAGGTAGAGGATGCTCCAGAAAGGTTAGTGTTGTGCTCAAACATAAGACGGATACAGTAGCTAAATAACCCTACCTTCCTCTTCAAGTTCTTCCTTTCCTTTCCCCGGTCCTTTGGACATTTCAACGCCTTCCAGAAGCATCTCTTGACCCACCTCAAAAACACACATTCAAAATTGGTGGAAGATATGTATCAATGAAGTCCCTAACTCAAATAACATATTTAGATACATTCGATAAACCACGACTTGTGGACTCTTACCTGTTTCCTTTTTTCTTGCGAAGGAATTTGATTTGGTGGCTCTATACGAATGGTTGGATCCCATTCTCCAGGTGGCAGTACCGTAACCTTGAAGAACAAACATCTATCTGAATCGACCGTCGCTTCATCAACACTAACAAGGATGTATTATTGTAAGGTGATGCTAGCGTTGGACTTTAGAGTGCGAAGAGAGGAGATACGGACAAGAAAGGCGATCTTCCAGTAAGGAGGGAAGGGGATGGGGGGGGGGGCATGCGACAGTTCATATCACCTAAATTTATCCAGTTTTTGCAGGGAAAGAAGCTCCCAGGGTGGGTGCAAAAGTAGAAAGCGAAACAGGTCACGCACCATGGAATTCGTCCCCCATGCAAAAATTGTAATTCAAAAAAAAAGAAATTCAGAATGAAAACCTGCTCATGAGACGAATTCAACGAGAGAAGAGTGATAAAGGTTGAGAAAAAGTAAGATATGTGTATTGGAAGGGCTACTTTATGAGGAGGAGATGAATTTTGGTAAAACAGTTCGTGCGGACTACAGTATTGTCGATTTCTGAGTGGGCAGGGAAGCTTCGCGACCCGTTTCATATGCGCGAAGGTCATTTCTATCTAAACGTTTGTAATAAAAAAGAGCTTTAGCTGTAACACTAAAGCCTTGAGTGTTCTAACCGACATTCCTTCTCAGCTTATTAGGAAAGATCCATACTTTGAAAAAAAGGACGCATGATGTGATGTACAAATATGTGTGGCTAATCAAAAGATCGTAAGAGATAGACTTCCATTTTCGGTTCTGCATATTTTACTGGACAGAAAATCCAGAAATAAAATATTGTGGAAATCGGCATAATACAACTCACACGTTCGATTCCTTACCTGATCTAAAAACTCGTCAACGCCATCGAGTAAGTCCTCCTTATTTCGAGCTTTGTACGCGACGTCGTGGAAAATCTGAAATCATTTCCTGCGACAATGTAGCACTGCTACATACTTTTCATTTGAGATATCACGAACACACCTCATCAGCCATCAAGGTAGCTATTGCACGGCCAATCTCCTTATACTGAGATCCGTGACCAGTTGGACCAAGCATCAGGAAGATGAATCGAGTCGGAACGGGAACCTCAACAAGGTTGAACACTGAGAATGATCCTTAACACCTTGCAGCGAAGCGAATTGCTACTTTAACCCTTTCCGGACCGCGCACTTTTGCCGTGGCGGGCGCGTGTGGCCGGCGCCTTTTTATGCTCACCGCCGCGTGCTGCGCGGCGAATATAAATATAATATATTTGACCTGTATTTCCATCAACACCATTATTTTATCCGTTTTTGTATTTGTCATGTCTAAAGGTATCTATGTGGTGAATTTGACTAAAAACTGTTGCATAAAAAACATGATAGGGCCATAAAAAGGGAC